CGCACGCGCGCGGCTCCTGCCGCCCCGGCCGGGGAACCTCCGCCTGCCTGCCTCCATCCCGCACACACCTCCGTCCCGTGTGCATCTCGAGGAGCACCGACAGGACACCTGCCCTCCACCGGTACTGACACAACACACAAACCCAACCGCCCAAGCGCAACCCCAGCGCGGTAACTAACCAAGGACACCTCTCCCTGCCTCTGGGACGTTCCTGCGCTGGTCTAGGCGCCGCGCTGGTGCACTTAACTCGTCTCGTTGAGCTCAGAAATTTTCCTGAACATGAATACAGACTGCATCCCCTAGCAGTGCTCTCCCTTCCAGGTCCACACAAATTCCTTTAAGGCGGCAGAAAGGATCTTGGTCCCTGTGTCCCCAAGAAAGCCTCCCAGTCTTAGCTGAGGTAGGAGGAAGGACTGGCCTTAAAAACACCCCCGGCTTCCCACCACCACACACCTACAAAATGTGTGCTTGTGAGCCCGATCCAGCTCCCACGTCTGTAGGGACGCACGTGGACCCCCGCTCCCTTTGGACTCCTCCTTTTCACCACCCTCAAGTCTAAGACCAACTTCAGAAGTGGGAAGGGCTGGGGCGGGGAAAGGAGGAAGGAATGGAGCCAGAGAGGCGGCCTCTAGATCTCCAGGTACCCATTTCTCCCACTGGGAAATTTACCTGGCTCCTGGTGAGGCCTTCGTTAAAGACAAGACTCCTTCAGGCAGCCCATTCTCCCCACCTCCCCTGCCCTGCCCCTGAAAAAGATCTGGTTCTAGCTAGAGGAGGAGAGCAAGTCCCTTATTCAGCGTGACCTGGGTGCACGTGACAGAGCAAAGCCTAACTCACTCCGTTTCAGGCCCCGGGCCAGCAGAGGCCTCCAGGAATACAGCCATGTGAGTTTAAAAATACACCTGGGCATGAAGAGTATCCATTTTCTCCTTGCTAAAAACGGGAGGCCAGGAATACTAACCGACCAAGTAAGGAAGTCCTGGCGGACTGCTCAGTGAACTTTTTGAAGCGCAACACAGGACCTTCCTTCAAACAAGTCATAACCTAGATTTTTACTCTGATATAAATGGGCTATCGGCTAAAAGGAAGGATTTTTTCCCCCCTACTGATTCAAAGACTGAAATAGCTTTCTAATTGTTTGTTGTTTTTTGCCACAATGGGATAAGAACTACCTAAAGATGCAGCTGCCTTTATAAAGAATTTGGGTTCAGTGTGTGAAGGGTGAATCTGCATGGTTTGAAACTGGAGTCTGGCTTTGGTATCTCTGGAAACAGAGTAGCAGACATTAAAAACATGTGGGATCTGGATATATTTGTTGGTAAAGTGGAAACTGGAACACTTGAGAGGTTGTGGCTGTGTCTTTTATGAGTCAATATTTTTCTTGCCTGTTTCCTATATAATATATTTTTAGAGTTATAAACTGAATCAGATACACCTTTCAGTACCTTCTTAATGTCTCAAGAAAGAAAGCTATAAACATGCATTTGCTTTATGTTCCCCAACTATTTCAATTGAGTCATCACTGAAGGCAGTGGTTCATGATTTTATACAGGAGAGTTATTGTGAGCATTTATAAAGCCATCCTGCTTATGAGTTAAATTTATTATGTTTGCCAGGTTAATCTGTTTTCACTAATCGGACACTTAATCATCCGTTCTCCTCCTTGCATTATGGATTCATGAATGTGAACGAAGGAGGGTTGCTCAGTCAGGGCAAAATGATAAATTATCTTTTCATTTTGGGGGTATTTGTGATTAAATGCATCATGATAGAATTAAAATGAAATAAATCTTGTAATTTTACTTCTAGATCCCTGCCAGGTACAGATAAAATGTTAAGAGTAAATTCAATTCGATGCCTGAATGGAATTTGTAGGAGAAAACAGAGAAAGCTTTGCGGCGCAGGAGAACTCTGAGTTTTCCCTTCACTCCTGAGATTGGAGAGGTGGTTAATCACTCAGCAGTACTCTACGGATGAACAACACAGAATTAAAATTTCCATCGAGAAAGAATGAGGAATTAGCCTCAGGCAGTAATAGCCAAAGTTTGTCTGAATCTAGAGTTGTAGTCCTGGGATCTCAAGGGCTGCACTTGGCATGTGATAGGAGCAGATGTTAGATTACAACCAAATAACCAGTTCCCATTATTTTGGCTATTATATTAAGGGAAGCACCACGTGGATGGCACCCTCAGTTGCTGCCTAGTGGGGTTGAAAGGGTTGAAACATATTGAAATAACCATAATGGAGCTACTTCAGTCATATTTGTTGTAAAATAAAGTCCACATACCAGCAAAAGCCCTGGGTTAACAAGAGTCATTATTTGCCTTTTCAACACATGGAGACTGAAACCAATTGGCATTATGTAATGTTATCCTCGAAAGAACCCTGTATTTTTAATGCATATTTTACAACTAGCAAAGTGTTTTCATATCCTTTGTCTTATTTGAGCCTCACAACAAACCTGTGGTTACTCAGGTCTTGGTCAGAGCCATGGAAGTCCTCACTCAGGATCTCCTGGGGAAAGACCCAGATTAGGTCTTTTAGTCAAGAGTTCTTCCTCTAGCCAAACTCCCTCTTTATATAGACAGTAAAAACAAAGTCTTCCTTTTAGATGAAAATTCACAAAAACAAAAGTCTGCACAAATACGAGGTGAATGAGACTTAGGACAAAAATGATCTTGTAAAGATATCTTGGCCTTAACAGAAATTTTGCTGAGATGATACAGGTTTTGGCTACAGTAGCATAATAAGTGAGAGTTGAGACAGTCAATCATGTAGTTGCAACCTTGCCTCCCAAAATCCATGCTGTAAAAATGAAAGCTTTTTTCTTGACTTGAATATTGACAGGCAATAGGTCTGTTCAGATTGGATTTTGGGACAAATTGCTCGAACCTCTCATTCAGTGTGCTTTGTACATTCTTGGTCAATGTGGTCGGAGCTAGAAATCTGTTCCTCAACAGAATTCTCACGGAGTGCACCTCCAGGCTATGTCGTATCTCTGTGACTGCTGCTTCCCCCATAGTTATGTGCATTTGAAATTACCATGCTTGGTAAGTCAGCCTGAGCCAAGGGTCTAGGGCAGTTAAGGGGACTGCCTGGTGGAGAAAAGGATGATTTAATGGAGCCCAGGTCAGAGGCACAGAAACATACCAGCATGTGGCAAGGAAGATAGGACATGGGTAGGACTTTATAGAAGAAGTTATCTGCATTCTGCCCAGGAAAAAAGGGCAATGGAAAAGCCTTGGACAATGAATCAGTTATCCTGGGTTCTAATCCCAGTTCTGTCACTTGCCAGCTGTGTGACATGAGACATGTCCCTTAAGCCTGATCCTCAGTTATACATGTATGAAATGGGAAAAGTAATAACATAGCCTGCCATTTTTCACAAATTAGCAAAAAGGTCTTTTGATTATATAAAGATTTGGATTATACAATTAACATTATACAAAAAAATATACAAAAACATAAGGAAGAATTCAGTCAAACTATGATTGGTCAATAGATGTAACACAAGGGTATCCTTGAAAATGACACATTTCACTATATTCAGGAAGAGAAATGGCTACATACATACATAATATTCCTATCCTTGCTCTTCCCTTTTGCCTCTTTCCATTTTAAGTTTAGAGCAAACTGTCTTATATATTCATTGTAACATTTACATAGTATAAATATCTGTCACGTAAAAGTGATACTGACAATGTAGTTAAGCTTTTATTGTCTTTCATTAGTCTGCTAAATTAAAGTCCATCATTAAAAAGAGGCCACAAATATAAATGATTTTTAGGGACTTTGCCCTAAGGGGAAATCATACAATGCACTCGGGAGAAGGTAATTCTGACTTGGTCCTCCATAAAATGCTAAATTTCTGCACAAAATCTTAAAGCACAAGTGTTTACAGGACTCTTGGTGACAAGAAAAACGATAGTAATGTGCCTCAGCACTAAAATTTCCGTATCCATGGAAACCTGTGAAGTTCTGAAAGCACAGGCACGCAGCCTACGTATTTATGGAAGGTCTGAGGCAGTGATGGGTGGGTTACTATGCTGTGAAAAGCCGACAGATTCCTGGGAGCTGCTCAGCACAGGCGTGGATGAATCCCCCCTTGCTAAATGCAATCAGAGAGAAATTCAGAAATCTCAGACGTTACCAAAAAAAAAAATCCCACATTTATATATTTACATTTACTTATATCTGTCATAATAGAGTAAGTTAAGTCAGATTTTAATTCAGAAAAGGCTTGAGAAACCATCAGAGTTTCCCTCTCCCTGCCACATTTGTAGCTATGTTAAAAAACTCTCCAGATTTTCCATGTGTGCAGATCCAGGTGTTTCTTGATACTGGAAAAGAATGTCACCGTTTTTAATCAAACTGATTATTCCTGGGAAATTTAAATGTGTTCCTGGTCAGTGTTTCCTAAGGTATAATGGCTTTGAAGGCAAAGAACATAATAATATTGGAGGGAAAGGATCATCTACAGATTTCTGAAGTATTTATAGAACCAAGGAGCAATATGCCAATAAAATAAGGAAGTAATTCATAAGTAGTCATATGGCATATTCATATAGTGCTCCATTTTTTAAAAGCATATATATCATCTCATTTAGCACC